CTGGAGAAGTGATATCCAGCAACACCCAGAATTGGGAATGATTACGATCATTTTTCCATTCCATCTGCACAGAAACGAATGAATGGCTTCAGCTCTACCCACTGTGCAATGCTCCCCTCCCAAGCCCATCAGAGAATAGGGGAGCAAGGACAAAATCCCTCCCCCACACCCAAAGCCACTAGAGGAACAAAGGGGAAAGCCTCGATTCTCCCTTAAGATCACTTTCTTCCCATGAGCTCCCATCATGAGACTATTACATTGGCAGCCCCAAGTGGGGATCTTTTTTACTATAGGGTGGTGGCACACGGATACTTGGAGGAAAAACATCTTGACATGTTTTTATTTGGCCACGGCATAGGGTGGGAGGGTCTGTATATGTATTTTTAATTCACCTGTCAACACTTATGGCAACTTCATGGATTTCATGGGGGTTTTCTTAGGCAAGGGTATTCCCTTGCCTGGGAAAAGGTGGCTTACTCAAGACGCTAAAAGGTGGCTTTGCCATTTCCTGCCTCCGAAACACAGTCAGCCCTCTGTATCTACAAATTCAAGCATACGACTTGAAAAAAATGTTTTTTAAATATATAAATTCCAAAAAGCAAATCTTGATTTTGCTGTTTTACATAAGGGACACCACTTTATTGTGCCACTGTATTTAATAGGACTTGAGCATCCACGGATTTTGGTATCCACGGGAAGTCCTGGAATTAGACCCCAGTGGATACCAAGGGCTCACTGTACAGTGTTCCAGCACCTAGTTTTCCTTGGCCATCTCCCATCCACGTCCTAACCAGGCCTGACCCAAATATTAACCACACCTGATCTTTAGCTTAGCTTCGGTCAAAGGAGAGATGACTCTTTTGGTTGCTCAGAGAAAGGTGTGCGGGGGGGGGGACACAGTTCAATGGGCACATAGAGGGGGTACACCAGGCCAGCTGGCACCTCCATGCAGGATATTTTGAGGCTGTGAGGATGAGTGAAACTCCATGATGGTGCTCTTCTAGGAATATCCCCCTTCCTAGCACACCAAAAGGAGGACAGAAATTCTGCTTTGGAAGCCATCCAAGGAAATAATCCCCAGAGTAAGAGCTCATAAACTTTGACTGTTCCCTACTGCACCCCTTTTCTTCACCCCATCCCATCTTGATCATATTAGCGTTTTCTTGACCACCCCAAAACCTCCTGCTTTGCACAGCCCCCTTCCATCCAGAAACCCCATTAACTCTTTTTTTATTTGGTAGTGGTGGGGTCTTGTCAATGAAAGGTCTCCGAGCCATAGGTGACAAAAGGACTCAAGATGCTGTCCAAACAAAGTGGGGAGTGGGGTGAATAGTATGGTGTATGTCTGCCTTTGGCTCTGATGACCCATGGAGTAGACTCTATGAGGGAAGACGTTGTGTGGGGCACAATAGGGTGGCTACCTAAATTGTCCAGTCCCTAGAGAGAGATGGAGGTCACAGTTCTATTTCAAAAGTTTTCTGCCGGTCACCGGAAAAGGGGTTTGGGACAGCAGAAGGAGCCTTGTTGGATTCCAAAGCAGCCCACTGCTCTTCAAAGGGGTCGGGGGGCTCGTGGCAAGGGGCAGGGGGCACTGGCTGGGTCTGCTCAGGGGGCCAGGCGGTCCCGTTGGCTTTGGGCCGCATTGTGGGGCCCAGCAGGTTCTGAGGGAAAGGGCTGGCTTTGGCACCTAGGTTTGTGGCAGGTGCCTGTGTGGCCGAGCAGAAGGCATTGGCCACCATCTGAGAGGGAGTGATGCCCACCACTGGCACGCTGGGCACGGTGGCGTATGGCACTGCCGGTGGATAAGCGGCGCTCATGGGCACGAAGGCCGGTGGCATGTGAGGTGGGACAAACATCCCCACAGGTGGTGGGGCAGTGGCAGTATCATAGCTCATGGGGAAGGCAGGCATTGCCACTGCAACGGTCACCTGCTGCTGGGCCTTGGCAGCCTTGGCCACCTCCTCCAGCCAGCGTTCAGCTTCTGACGGTGTCCGCTTGTGCCCCGGCTGGAATGGAGGTGTTACCGAGGCTCCGGCAGAATTGCTGGTCCATGTGGAGGGAGCTGAAAAGAAAAAGAGAGGGACAAAGGTGGTTGTATTTATCCCCGTCAAATGGGAAAAAATGAGAACCCAATCCCACCAAGAAGCCACAGTTAAGCATACCTGTGCCACCCCCTTCCATGGGTACTGTGGCAGTGGGATGGCCAAGGGTGCCATTGAGAGGTGCACTGCTGGGGGGCTCCCCAGCCGGCTGGGCGAGTGAGGCATCAATCTGGCTGCAAAGCGCAGTGATCCCATCAGAATCTCCGTTGGGTGTGGATTCAAGTTCTATCACTGCCAAAGGAAGGGAAGGAAAAAAAAAAGTTTGGAAGGAAGCCTCACAGCACCGAAGGTACACCTGTCCACTCATTTGCTTCACTCTTACTGGAGTCTGTGAGGCTGCTGGCACACTGCAGAATTCATGCCGTTTGACACTGATTTAACTACCATTGCTCCATCCTATGGAATCCTGGGACTTGTAGTTTGTTGTGGCACCATAGCTCTCTGACAGAGAAGGCTAAATATCTCACAAAACAATCAATCCCAGAATTCCATAACATTGAGCCATGGCAGTTAAAACAGTGTCACACTGCATTAATTTTGAAGTGTAGATGCAGCATGACTCTTGCATATCTTCCAATTGCTGTATCTCTCTTTTTTTGCCTCAATCCAACCCCCCCCCCCCCGGCTTCCAGCTGCATTCAACTAGTATTGGTCAGTCATCGTTTTTGACAATTTCCTGGCAAAATAATGTGGTGGATATGATTAGTAATTTGTATGTCTTTCGTACGCAATGTGCCTAGAATCTTTTTGTTTCTGAAAAAGGTACTGTAGCTCAGAAATATCCCATTGTGGGAGAAAGGCAGGATACAAATCCTTGAAATAAGTAAATAATAAATCAAATATCCTACTTCGACTTTAGCTACAACTAAATAACAACAACACGATAATCATAACTATTACAGTAGTATCATCCTTGTGCAGAGTTCTAGCATCTTTGCAAGGCCGCCCCACCGCTGCAAGATGCAAGGACACTGGGGAAAATTTAATATGGCAGTTTCCAGACCTTGCTGCTGCCACCATCATGCTCACAGATGTAAGAGGGGGGCCAGCAGTGGCTATTCTACCAAAGGCCTTCTCAGTCCTGGAGTAAAACTTGTTAAATGCTGCAACATTCACATTCTGAAGCTATTGCTCTGAAAACCATCTGTAAACCAGAATAACCCTCTTTTTGTTGGAGATTATGCTTTTGGATCAGAGCAAGTCACCCAACCAGTGGATGCTAGGCAGCATCCCACAAACATAGCATGATGCTTATGGCCTTTTGTTCTCTGTTCCCAAAGCCACACATATGTGCGGCAGTTTGTCCCAGCAGCACCTTATTTGAGATAGTCTGCTTTGGCCCATGGAAGCTCAATGTAGCTATCAAAGATCACAGACAATAAGACACAGCCAAGTCCCCAAGAAGTACTGAAGGGCCACCCCACATCCACCTCCCTGCAAGATAGAATCAGAGTTAGAAGGGACCCCACAGGTCATCAAATCCAACCATTTTCTCAAAACAGGGACGCCATGTAGCTGTCCAGCCTCTTTCTGAAAATATCCAGAGAAAGAGACCCCACCACCTCTCCAGAGAATAGGTTCCATGGCCAAACCGTTCTCACTTTTTAATGTTTCGTTGAAAGCTACCCTGCTATTAACTTCAAACCATTAGCCTGGTCCTACCTTCTCGGGCAACAAACCACCTGCCCCTGCACAGTGTTTGCTATTTCTCTTTCCCATTTATTTCTTGATAATACTAACCTGCATCACCAGCATGCCCCTTGCGCTGAAGGGTGGAAGGCAGTTCGTTCAGTCGCAAAGAGAGCTGTCTCTTGAAGGGGGAGTTCTTCTGGCTCAGGGTGGGGAAGCCTCGGAAAGAGCCCTGCCGTACCAACTGCTCCAAGGGGGCATGGCGGCGAGGGATGGCATGGGCACTCCCTGCTTCGGCTTTCTCTTCTGGAGACATGGCCCCCTGAGGCGGAGAAGCGCTGGCAGGCTGGGCAGGGGCTGGAGGAGGAGCTGAGGGCACTGCCACTGGTTCAGCTACAAGGGAAAGATAAAACCTTATTGGGGGTGGTAATTCTGGTGGTGATGATAACCTGGAGTCCAGCCACCCACAATGCATGGGCAACCCTCCCCTGAGCCCTCAAACGTCTCCTCTGGCAACTGTTTTTTCTTATGTAAAATAATTCTACATTCCCTTTTGAAGGGAAACCTCCCCAAGACTGTTCACCAAGTAAAACTTAAAAGTGGGTGGGAATCACACAGACCTGCAGAGGTTTCTCGGCCTCAACTCCCAGCAGCTCCCTGCACAATATAACCAATGGTGAGGAATGTTGTGAGTTGCAGTCCAACATCTGGAGGGCCACATGATTCCCACTCATGGGTTCAAAGGATGGCAAGAAAGACAGCAGAGGTCCCTGTCACTGTCTGTCACAGAACAGCATGCTACCAGAAAGGGTCTGGATGCATCATCACTTACTGGAAGTCATACTCTCCCAGTTTCAGAATATGGGAATAGCAAACCCCTTCTGAAGAAGCTAGCCAAGAAAACCCTACAATAGGTTTGCTTTAGGGTCGCCATAAGTAAAAAAAATGACTTGGAGGCACGCCAC